TCGAACCAGCCCGTAGGCCGCAGCCTTCACGTGCACTGGCCCCTCGGTTGCTGCTCAAAAAGCGGCGTGCTGAAAAAAACAAAAAACTTCTGCTGCCCGGCTGGGTGCGCCATGTGGCATCCTCATGTCCATGACCCCATGTGTTGATAATCCAAGGTGTACACAAGGCATATAAGGCTTGTTGTTGTCAGCATCTGGTCGTGCATTTAGGAGAAGGGTCGGGCATTGAGAAGCCGTGGCTTGCAGGTCTAAACATCCGGACCGAAATAGAATTACGAGTAACGGCCATCCGGGAGTAGGGACGGCAGCTGCAATGGTGCGAGACATCGCAGATCTCGTGGAAGATGGCACGGTCGATGAAGAGATGAGGACCGTTACGATGAGATCTATCAACACTCTCCGGGACGAACTCGGCCTGGGGGGTAAACCCGACGCTTCAGCAGCAAGGTCACAGGCTGCCATCAGCGTCTGACTCTGACCTTTTTGCAAAAGGGCCTTTCACACAATCACACCTTGTGGGAAAGCCTCAGGAACAAGGGATGGCACGATCTTCACAGAATCACTCCTGAATACAAAGAGAGGTAAACGGCTTTCGCGTGACACAGACCGCCATGCAAGCCATTGCGGAGCAGGTTGACGAGTTGAGCAATACTCAGAAGGCAAGTGTGACGGTTCACGTACCTTTGTCACTTCAAGCGCTTGTTTGGGATGGCGTTGAGTGGCCATTCAGCGACGTGGGCAAATGGTGATCGCATTCGTGAGCAGGCACAGGGAGTCCTCAAAACAGTTTTCGTTGACCCGATCATTGAAGTTGCAAGGAAGACAATTAGGGCACCGATCATCAACCTCAATCACGATCTAAGGTTCTGCGGCATGGGCAACCATGAGCTTCGCAAGAAGGTCGGGAACTTCCTAGGTTTCCATGCAATGGGAGCTTACATTGCGCTAGAATTGAGAGTGCGGGGATGTGTGGTGATTCATGGGCCGTCGTTTTGGTCGAAGATGGCATGCCAGATGAAGCAGTCCAACACTGGCACACATATGCTATCCGTTGATCCTCATGGCGATGGAGATGAACACTTGAGACATTGGAGGGCATTCGCCATCTATGAGAAACAATTGTTAAGTGAAAAGATGGTTTTTGCGTGCTTCATCGATCATGCGAAGATTTCCGAATGGGATGAGAACATCAAAGCCCAGACAATTTCTCGCCCGGAGTTTGTCGAGATATGGGAGGACAAAGGGAACGTGCCAACTAGTGCAGATCTTCCTGCAAGCAAGTGGTTCACAGTAGAGAGCCGACAGCAGATCCAATCCGGAGCGCAGGGATACAGTATTGCCGAGCATGCCTCCGTGATTTGGCAGTATTTCCACATCGCACTGACCATTCACGAGGCCTACTACGACGATCGGCATTGCTGGTTCAAGATGGAGACACACGCTAGCCCCAACCCCAACTACGTCAACGGTAAAGCCTTCTTCTGCGATGGGTGCCCGGGGATGAAAGATGGATGCCCCAACATATGCATTGGTTGTGCACACACCTCGGCACTCAAGCTTCAGCATTCCTTGGCAAATTTCGCAAAATCGATTGAATCCCAACAGTACTCGCTGGCCTGTGCCATATATGCGTACGACCGGGGTCTACAGTTCTGTGACCCCAGGTTAGACGTCAGAGCATTCCTCAAGCAGTGCATCACGTATGTGTACACTGACTATGGCAACACGATTTCACACCGCAGTGGAAAGTAGTACTCGCCGCCAAGCTTGCAAGGAAATCACGTGTATGATGTATGTAAACCTTGTAAGGATGGATGGTGTAGACGGACTGTGATGAAGAAATCACAGTCGCAGAGAACAACCTAAAATCGGATTAGCTGTTCTAACCGGACGGGCCGGGTTTGGAGGAACTGTGATGCATACATCGCCAACACAAAAACTTTTTCCTGCCCCGAAGAGATCACATAACCGAGTATTTTGTTCAAATGTTGGGTTGCAGGCACCGAATGATGTGATATGATGTTGTCTCAGGTTTCAATATTTGCTTTCTGAGTGGGTATAATTTAAGCCGTTACAGTATAATCTCGGGAGCCGGAACCCTGCAAAATTTGCCGCCCGTCAGGCCAGCGATGTTTTTTAAAAAACTGAATCCGCGACGTCGGAATCCCCGATATTGTCATACATTGTTGGTGTAGATTATAGCTTCCTTGAAGGCTGAAAGGAAACACACGGTCAAATTGCTCGTGCCTTCCGCCCGAGCCATATCTGCACCACCTCCACTTTCCATTTGTGGGACCACGCAGGGCAACGTCTCGGCCGCGACTGTACGCCCTCGTCAACCCGACTCGCTTGTTGGCTGATAAGAGCGTTGCAGCCTTCTTGGGCAACTGCTATTATTTCGTCACTGTACCGGAACGCGCCGCGCCGGCCGCCCATTGAAGCCGTAGGTTGGTGCGATGCTTCAACCAGATCCCTCTGCTCGGCGAGCGAGTAGCCCCCCGGTGAGGTCACCGAACCGGCAGACCTGGCCTCCGGTTTATTAGGAGTAGGGCAGACAAGGATCCGAGCAAAGCGGCAGCTAACGGTTAACGCAGCCTGCGATATTCGCCGGCTCAGCGCTCCGGCGTCGGGCGGCCAGGCAGGCAGAAACACTGGCTCGTGGAAGCGAAGGCTACGAGTGTGCGAGTAGGCAATGCGTCTCATTGCCTGGAAGGTGGACAATCGCTGAAACCCTCATCGCAAGGAGCGGGCGCCTTGCTCGCGCGCGCTGCCTCAAAGAGACCACAATATTTTGCCTGGCCCCCGCAGCTGAGAGCAGATCCCATGGGTGCGCGGAGGACCGGTTAAAGTATCAGCCCGCCCCGCCTGGAGCCGCCTCTCTCGGCGGAAAGAAGTCCGAGCCCGCGGAGCGCGGTGGGCAGCCTCATGCCATGCGGCGGGATGCCACCGGCCGGTGAAGGCATGTCACATCTCAGCTCCATGCGAATTGGAGTACCGGGCGACTCCTCTCAAGCCCCGCAAACTCCGAGTGGCCGAGCAGCACCCGGCAAGCCCAATACACCACTCCCGGCAATCCGGTCCCTCTGCGGGGCTGTACGCTGTTGTGCCAACATTGGATGCGATCCCACAGTCGCGCCGGCTTTTTGAAAGAGATCAAGCGCAGCGAAGTAGGGACCGAACTCCCGACCGCTCTGCCCCAGTTCACGGCCGCGTGTGATGCCGGCCAAACCTTTCAAGGCGTGCCGTTCCTTCTCCTGGGTCTCAAGCAGTCGTTCACTGTCACTCTGAACGCCGTGTGGGATGCAAGCCTTGGCGGACTGACCAAGCACCTGCACGAGTGGGAACATCGTCCGATGCATGTTTTGCCGGACAGTGCAGACAGGGTGGCTCTCCTCGGCGTCCGGGCAATGCAGGCCAGTGGCCGCGTTTGCTCGAGACTGCAGGCCGCTCACCCCATCAGGACACTTCTCGCACAGAAGTTCGAAGTGGCGAGTTTTCCGTGCCGGAGGTCGCGAAACGCCGATGAGACTTTGACACTCTCAGCCGGCCGGAGACCTCCGACTCGAAGAGAACGCTACGGCGCTACCTGCAGCTTCGGTGATCCTCCCGGAAGCAACAGTCCTGCAAGTACTCCGCCGCAAAGTGGCTGTGCAGTGTCGGGGTGTTGCACAGATGAAACTCTGCAGCTCAAAAAGAAAGGGCTCCATACGAAAGGGAAATTCACGGAGGAGAAGCTGCATGGACTTGTACAATCCTGCGATCTGCATCACTTTTGCGGAGAAACAGAAGATGCTGTCGATCTGACGTAAGGCTCCGCTGAGTTGTTCGGTGCTTTCCGCATTCGAACAAAGAATTTTTCTGGGATGTGCCAGAATCTGAGACCTGACAACTTGTAGACGTTGAGTTGCAGTGCTGATCATGCCCTATAGGCCAGGAATGCAGAACAGGCAGGTCATGCGCACAGTAATTATCAACTCCAGGACAATGAGTTACGCATCAGTGGTGAAGCATTTGCCTTGTGTGTGGAGCTCAGCCTGCGGTTCTCCTCTATCCTTCAAGGGCTAACATGAGGTAACTGTAGAATGCAAGCGTCTTCATCATTTCGATCGAAGAAGCAGCCGCGACACATGGCAGCATCCGCTCCCCGCGAACAAGGTTTGAACTTAGGCTGGCAGCCGATCCTTTTGCCAGCACATCCCGACTCCAGATTCCTTGTGCGCATATAAATCCAGATGTGGCTTGCCTTTCGCTAGGCTCGGAGAGAAGAACAACAACGAACCGTTCGGAGCATTGGCTGAAGCTGCAGGAAGACAAACGGCGGAGTCCAAGCAAGGGTATGCAGACAACGAAGTAATGAGTGAAGGAAGTGATGTGAGATGCAGAGCTTGTGAATGTTCACGCGAACACGAATAGCCACATCAGTCAGTGTCTTTGAAGAGCTCTGGGAGAGCACCAGCACTGCATGTACTTGCACGAGGAGATCGAACATATGGTGATGATGGCGCCGTGTCGGATCCGTCAAGCGACAGCTTGCGTCACGACAGTATAACACGCTCAAGTAAAAGGAATTGTCCAGGACCCCTTGCACGACTAATTAAAGGATGCTTACTGGAAACTGCCATTCGGTATCGGAGGCAAAACCGCCCGAAGCTCAGAGAGCTGTTTTGTCTAGATGAAGCAATGATTCGACCTTCTGGCCAGTATGTACACAGCAGCTGCGCCCAATCCACAGAGTCGAATTGCAAAGGGAAGACATCCGACGCAGGGCAGCTGCAGGAGCTCGACGCTGGATTGCATTCGCAAGATGTCCGCTACCCTCGCTTGATATTCCGTAAAGTCGCCGTGTCGAGAGATCACAGGAGCTGGGTGGCCAATCGGGACGCCAGAGAATCCGGAAGAGACGCAGCCCCGAAGTTCAGCTTGGTGTGGGAATGCTCGGTGGGGTTCAAGTTGAAGAGAGCCTTGTGGACGTCGAGAGCATCGGGAAGCATAGCTGCCCGTCACCCTGCAGGCTCGTCGGGCTCCAGCGCTGCTTTGAACTCCTTGTGAGCAAAAGGATGCGCCCGCAGTGAAAAAGAAAATGCTTCGGTGACACGTTTCTTGAGGCTCACCCCTAGTGCCTCCACGGTGATGCGTCCATCGCCGTCTTCGTCCAGGGCCCGGAAGAGCGCTGTCAGCAGCGCTGGGAAGCGAGTTGCAATCTGCAGAGCCTGGGAGTTTGAGCCCTGGAAGCCGAGCATCCACTCCAAACCCCGCTCCACATCCGCCTCAAGAAGGGCACTGCTCAGAGCTCTGCAGTGTTATCATCTGCGAGCTGCCAGCTGCTTCAAGTAGCAGGAAACATAAGGCACAAGGCCACGACGACTGGGGTGGGGACCGGTGCAAGGCTCCCGCAGCTGTGCGTATCCAGCAAATGGAACACGTCCGCCGGCCAGAGCTGTCGTTCTGCCAAAGATCGGCGCAGCCGCTGCAGCAGCGCTTCACTGGCCAAGGCCTGTGCTCTGATTCGATGCATGAAACAGAAAGGGCCTGTACGAGTACCCCCCCAAGCCCGGCCTTGAACTCGTCCTTCTCCAGGAACACCGGGCTGAGTGGCAGCCTGCGGCGTGAAGAAGACTGCTTGGTCTGCTTGGTAGTTCCGCATTGGCACAATGTTTCACGGAATCTGTTGGTGCCAACTTGGACTATGAAACTCTAGCTGGTGAACGATTCCTCTGGAGTATCGAGGATGTCGGATCTTGTGCAAACATCTCCAACTGTACGGACAGACTTGGCAACATTCCGGAAGGCTTGCCCTCAACAGCTCAGGAAATACCAGGATAAAGCAAAGGGACAATGAAGCTGTCGATGCGAGTAAGGGGTAGCTAGAAGGAGTCTATCTGGAATGTTCTACTTTATGTCTCTGGCCATGGTGCGGGCAAGCCATATATGCCATCAGTCACTAGCCAAACGCCTGACCGGGGAGAAATACGTATCACAGGAAAGTTAGAGAAGGTGCCTTTGCCATGACTCCCTTGTACGCCGGCGGCAGCGCCGAAGGTCTTGCCACCACCTGCCAAGGCGAAGCGGAAGCTGAGACGCGGCCATGACCCAGAGAGGATGATCGAGGCTTCGCGGCTCCGGACGCCTCAGACGCTTCTCGGGCTCTGCTGCGCGAAGCGCGCGGAGGAGGATCGGGAGCTGCGAGCGCGGCAGCAGGTCGCAGTTGGCGAAGTGGAAGCAATGCTCGGCCACCTGGAGGGAGGAGAGTGCACAGAGTGCAGACATGTGCAGACAGGTGCTCGGAGCGTGCTCTGCTGCTCTGCTGCTCTGCTGCTCTGCAGGCAGCACCTCGAGGTCGAAGCGGGGTGGCTCGGTGTGCTCGGTAGTCCTTTCGTTTCCGAAGTCGGCCAACAGGAAGTGGCGCTCCAGGCCTCTTCTCTGGCCCTTCACCGGGTCCTTTGGACCCCCGGGGCTCAGGCAGCGGAGGCTGAGAAGCGGCGACGAGATCTTGAAAACCTCCTTGTTCAGGACCTCTCCACGGTGGAGGGCTGCCCGCAAGTGCTGGGCCTCCTCAAGGCTCAGTGCGACGAAGAAACGGCCTTGCTGATAGCCATACAGGGACTGTGTGGCCACTCCGCGTTGCAAGGCATCGAAACTGCAGGACCTCAGAAATTGCAGTGAGAAGGTGATGTGAGAGCGTCGCAGCATCTGCATGTGATTCGCCTTTCTGCTGCCCGGTGGCTCCTCCGAAGCTGCACCCCAAAGCCCGAGTGATTTGTAAAGCGCGGTCAGGTTTTCACCGGTCACTTTGTCACTGGCTATCTCGCCCCCATCCAAGCGATGAAGCTCAAACAGCAGGCGCAGCCTTCAGCTGTTGACGCCAAGGCACATGCGAGCCAGCGGAATATCTTCCAATCAAAGCATCCAAGCGGCCACTCAGTCTGTTGGCCGGAGAGTTGACCTGGAATTTCCAAGGGCTGAAGCTGCTGCCGGTCTGGCACCCACCTCGGGTTCGAAGGCATACAAACGCCCATAGACACTTGCAGTGGAATCGGCTGCTGAAATTTGAGACTTTGAGATGCCGGCTCCAACACGCAGATGATGTTTCGTAAGCGCCGAGTTGACTGCATTCGCCAGGCCTGCAGAAAGTGCAGAAGTGGTGAACAGGTTTTGGATCAGAAGTTCGGAGTTTCGACAGAGGAGGCTGTTGGAAATTGGGCTCCAGCGCTGCGTCCAACTGCAAGCTGTCTTTCTGTTCGACTATGAGACTCTGCTATGTAAACGAGGTCTGGTATTATCAAGCTGGTCTTATTGGAGATGGCCGTCAGGCTTGGCTTCCAATGATGTTGAAAGAGCCAGTCGTTCGAGTATGGCCTTTCGATAATAGTTGTCACTGACCATCAGGAAGGGCGGCAGCTCATCCAGGAAGTTGCAGTCCCCTCCCAGCATGCCCCGATGAACTGCAAAGTCTGAGATTGGATAGAAGGGAGGGGAGGATCCCGATTTTGATCGACTGCTCGGCTGGCAGGCAAGGCTACTGAGGTTCCAAGGTTGCTGTCGTTCATCTGCCCGAGAAAACTTCTCATTCGCCGGCTCCTCGGGCAGGCCCTCCTGCTCCTGCTCCTTCTCTTGCTCTTCCTCTTGCTCTTGTTCCTGCTCTTGTTCCTGCTCTTCTTCTTGCTCTTCTTCCTGGACTTGCTCTCCTTCCATTGCGTCATTCTTGGGCTCTTCCAGGAAATCAATCTCGCATTCCGGTGGCCAGCACTCGGCAAGCACTGCATCGGCTTCTGCACGCTCTGAGGGACTTAGTTTTCGCTTGGAAATCTCCAGCTGCAACTTCTCCTGCAGGCTCGGCTCCTTCCCCTGCACCTGGATCTCCAATTTTGGGGGCAGGCCGAAGAATTCCGGTCGGCTTCGGAGGTCCTCAAGGGCTGCCTGTGTGGAAACCGCGCGCAAGCTATCAACGGCGCTCTTGTCTTTCGGATCGAAAACAGCCGCGGCCACGTTCTCCAGCTTTAATCGGGCTTTGCGCTTCCAAACATCGCGGAAGTTCTGCTGGCAGAGCAGCCGCTGCTTCCTGCACTCCTGGCGGATGCCATTGGCAGTGGCCCAGACAAGAACGTGGACCACCGGGTCCGCCTCTTTCTGGCGAGTGGGGCTTGTTGGCGAACTTGGGGTTAGAAAATTCTCCAGCGTCACGGAAATACGGCCGCTAGCAAGCCTAGAGGCCGTACAGGCCTTGCGACATTGGTGCACAAGCGTGGAGACTTCGGGAGTCACCAGCACGGAGATCTGCTGTCCAGCACCCAGGCCGCGCATGCGATATGCACCCTGAGCAAAATCTCGCAGTGTAGTATCCTTGCTCATGGTAAGAACAGCTCGCCCTGCAGGCGGCTGTTTGATGTCCATGCCGGTTGTGTGGACGTGGTCGTAGAAGGTAAAGCGCTGGGATGGCGCAAGTCCACACTGCGCTAGCTCAACAACCTCGGTACCCAAAACATCCAAGACAGAGAGAGAGCGAGAGAGAGGGAGAGAGCGAGAGAGAGGGAGAGAGAGAGAGAGAGAGAGAGAGAGACAGAGACCCACACACACACACACACACACACACACACACACACACACACACAAGCGGGATTGAGAGGAGAGGTTGTCAAATTGCACGGAAGCACGGGAGCTAACCCACGGGCGAGTTTCCGAGCAAAGGAACCCTCCATCCATCACGAAGAAGGACAAGGCGTTCGCCACTCATGCTGAAAAACACCTGGCACGAGAAGAATGAGTTTGGAAAGCTCTAAGAGCTGCATCGCCTTTAAAACATGCCGAAAGTGCGACGCCCGCGTAGTCCTTTAAGCCAACTCGAAGTAGATAGTCGGCTGTCTCCCGGTTGCTCAGCCCCGTGACCAGAGCCTGAGCAAAAATCGCAAGGACCGCCTCCTGATGTTGTTGCTTGCTGTCGGCCTCTGCAGCGGCGGATCCTTCCCCCTTCCCACACTGTTGGGGCTTTCGGCACAAACATTGAGAACAAATATAGGCACTACAAAGCAAATGGAAGTAGCAGAAACAAGTATAGCTGTATGCACGGGCGCCTACGCCGCCAGCAAAACCAAGACTAAGGGAACACGGACTGGGTCAGAGTGTGACAGTTGCCCAAGCAGAGCCACTCGACTAGGAGGCACGCGTCTCTCAGGGCCAGCTGTCTGCGACTGGCGTCCAACACCGAGCAGCTGCCCGAGGCCCTCCCTTGTCAACCCGGGCACACCACGGCCCGGCGGGCAACGCTGAGAACTGCAACAGCAACAGCAACCGCGCCGGCAACGGTACCAGTCGCAGCACCACCGCCGCCTCCGCCACCGCCATCCCGCCACCATCACCACCGCCAACAACAACCACAACAACAACAGCATCAACAGCAACAAGAGCAACACAAGCAACAACACCAGTACCCGCACCCGTATCCGCACCGCCGCACCGGCACCAGAACCAGCAACAGTAGCAAGAGCAACAGCAGCAGCAGCAACAACAACAACACCACCAACAACAACAACAACAGCAACAACAATAATGATATTAGCAAGAACAAGAACACGAACACTAACAACAACCAGAACCAGAACAATAACACCACCAACACCACCACCACCACCACCAACAACAACAACAACAACAGCAGCAGCAACAACAACAACAACAGCAACAACAGCAGCAGCAGCACAACAACGGCACGTACAATAGAATAGGTGTCCAGGGTTGCCCTTCAACATCGCAGAAAATCCTTCAAAATCCTTCTAAGTCCATTTTGAGCCGTTCTATATCCAACGAGAACCATTGAAACTCCAGAAGCACGGTGTCGAAGCCATCAAATCCCTCCCAAAACCATGACCCCCCCCCCCCCCTGAGATGTAACCTGGACGTGTATCCCCTCGCTAGGCGTACAGGAACACAGGCACTCAGGTGTCTCGTTTGCTACAGGCGCACAGCTGTAGTCCACTGCACTAGAACCTTGAGCAACAGGCATGGATACATGCAAGTGATACGTGAAACAGACAGGCACCTGGATGTGTAACATTCAGTGTTTCAACCAGGCACAAATTTAAAACACGTAGAGCTGCATGGCCGTGGAGTCGGCATTCAACTAGCCTGTTATTGCTCTCGGTCGAATTAGCGGAGTATTGAGCTACATCTGCGACTTGAAGAGAATCTATACATCTCTCACCTGAAGACAGCTTCAATGAAAAGAGCAGAACACGCACGAAAACGCAAACGGATCTTCAACTGAAAACTTTTGCTTGAAAGTTGCCCACTTGTGTTCAGTTTCCTCTCCAGGCGGAAAGCTTACTGTCACATAAAAGATTGTAGAGCTTAGCTCCACTTGATGCCAGCATGACATCTTGCGACACGGCAAATATATAAGGGCATGAGAAGTATCTTATCCTGAGAGATAAGTATCTTCTTTCTGACAGGGTCTCTGAGGAAGTACCTCTTCATGAGAAAAGCATCTTCCTATGAAATGGCGAATGCTCAAACTGGATACCTTCTTATGAAAGAAGCATTCCGTGAAACACTCACTCCACATCTTCCAACGGACCATGGTTCATCATCCTCTGGTTGTACTGCTCAACCCTTCGACGAGTTCGAGGACTGTCGTCTGGATGAAGCAGCTGGTAGTGTGGGTAGTACCATCTCTCCAAACTCCAGTGATGAAGCTGTAGGTGAAATGGGAACCACGGTCTACCACCAAAGGATGCTGGGCCAGGACCAACGTCTTCGTCAGGAACGTCAACGTCTGAGTCCTCGCCCTCATCTGAACCTAGTCAGTTTTTGCCCTTGGCCTTGCCTTTTGGACTTGTCCTTGGTCTTGCCCTTGGACTTGCCCTTGTCGGCGTCCTTGCCTTTTCCTTTGGAGGACTTGCCTCCTTTGCCGCCTTCTTTGCCACCAGGAGGTTGTGCGGGTTCTTGAGGACGTTGAGAACCAGAAGCTTTAGCACCAGAAGCTGCCTCTTCCTGAGAAGAGCTTGCTCCCTGTGGTGCGGCTGCAGGACCAGTAGAACCAGAACCACGCGCCTTGTTCAGCTTCTGTCTCTCTTTTCTTCTGTCCGCGGCTTCCTTCACGGTGTCGGGATTGCGGTTGAGCGCCCTCATCCTGCCTCCAGAGTACTGGTTCGCGTGAACCTCGATGAGGAGCGGAGTGTGAGCGTCATAGTCCCGATCGTTGAGAAGGTACGCGGCGCTGGTGGAGTTTAACAGCCACTCAGAGACATGGATGTCGAACTCAGTCTTTGAAGACGGAAACTCCGCCCATTGATCGTCCGACATGCTGTGTCCCCATTCCATGACTGTAGCCATAACAGGATCCAAACCAGGAAAAGTATTCCAGTCTGGTTGCTTAGCTTCCTTGTATGGCATTCCCAGCGTGTCCTCATACTGCTTCAGAAGCCACATGGCGTTTGCTGACACATGTCTCGCACGAGGCGAACAGAAGTGTGGGCACTTTGGGCTTTCTGACCATGCCTCCAAGAAGTAGTCGAGAAGGCTTTGGTACATCCCGCCACGAATATCCATCGACTCCTGCTTTCTGCCGGTGGCCCGGTAGAGGGCCATGTTGGCGTCGCCACCGATGAGGTCGACTTGGTAGTGCAAGCAGTCGATGAACATGTTGCCCAACACTTCATGAGCCAACGCCACCTTGTCTGCCGCCGCGTCGTTGTGGAGGTGGAAGACACAAACTCTGAGCCGGTCGGATCCAGCCCGCTCCAAGACCTTGGTCAGTGACTCATCTGGAACATCACCACGACTGCCCTGGAGACCGGTCGGTAACGTCATGCCATACACGATTTCCGCGACCATATAGGTTATTGGAAGGGACTCGTGGGCATATCCACTGAGAGTGGAGCCGGCAAGACGGGTGATCGAAGATCCGACACCATTTGTACGACTTCCCACCATCAGGTCCTTGGACTCGTTACGAAGGAATTGCCAACCGCGTGACTTGAGGAAGGCCTCTTCGGAGTCATCGATCTTAGCCGCTTCGCAGAGCATAAACAAATGCGTCTTCGACTGTGCAATCGATTTTATCAAGGCTCCTTTAGATGGTGTAGCATCGTCCCAGTCAATGTGATTAGCAACGGAGCTAGGAGCGGAACGCTTTCTTCCCCTGCTCATGTTGCCGAGATTGAGGATGAGCGCGGCGTACTTGGTCTTGCTGGTGAAGATAGGGACATTGGAGTCCTCTGCCAGACCAAAACGATGAATATAAGGATTCGGCATCTTCTCAAGAGAGAGGTCCCCGATCTCCTCTTCATCGACTCCGGTGCTCAAGAAGTAGTGAAGCATAGCATTCAAGAGTTCTTCTCGAGTTGCCGGATTGCCGCTTGCATCCAAGGACTTCAGCTTATCAAGAAGTGCTTCCATAACCTCCAATGCTGATTCTCGGATGTCAGAGGCCTTGCCCATGAGCTTGTCGTCCAAGGTGCTGCGAACGTCCCCAGAACGAAAGACAACGTCCTTTTTGTCGGGACGACGCTCATAGATGGGATCCATCTTGTTGAGTTGGTCGAATAGGTCCACCATAGAGAGAGAGTATTTCTGTCCCTTGTGGTTCGGAACATTTACCCTCCAACTCATATGCTGCACCTTGTAGGCGAGAACGGGCTCGTAGTCAGGATCACGAAGTCCTGTATGATACAAGCCTGAATAGCCATATCCACGCAACTGCTTGCAGAGCAGCCGCATAGGGCTTTGTCGTTCGATTTCGGTGAGCTGCGTAAGGAAATGTTTGAACTCTTCGAGATCAACGAGCTCGATCTTTTCCTTTGCCTTGCCCATCTTGTCGAACGCGTTCTCATTCTGGTCCTCTGCATCCTTCGCGGCCTGGTAGTACTCAGGATCCGGAACAGTCTTGCATTTCCCCCAGATGCCTTGATCGTGAAGTTCACTTTCATCATCCTTCTCGGGAGAAATGTCTGGCATGGATTCCTCACCCTGTGGTGAGCCTTCCTCAGCCATTTCGATGTTCTCGGACTTACCTCCTTCCTGACCCATGTGCACATCAGGTTCGACCTTCACCTCGGATGCCTCTCCCTGTGGAGAGCTTTCCGTGGCTTCGGTCTTCTGTTGTGGAACATCCACCCCAGATGCCTCCCCATGTGGAGAGCTTTCCGGAGCGTCCGTCTCCATTGGCTCGACAGTAGCCCCAGATGCCTCTCCCTGTGGAGAGCTTTCTGGAGCTTCAGTCTCCATTGGCACATCGGTCGGCTCGGTCTTAACCGGATCAACCTTCTTGCCCTGTGGCAAGTCCGTGGATCCAGACGACGGTTCGGAGGTATCCATCTGAGTAGCCGCGGGAGGCTCCTCGATCTCCTCGATCTGTGGACATGGGAGTCGCTCGATGAACTCCTCGTTCATAATGTCTTCATATGGTCGAGTGAGGAGCTCATTCAGCTCTGACTCCTTCTTCGCCTTCAAGTCCTCGTAAGCCACCAAGTCCGCTTTTGCCTTGCGTGCGAAAGCCGATTTGAAATCTCGGCGCTCAGATTCTGCGAAGACTTTCTCCAGAACGGCCAGGATGTAGCTGCCGCTGAACGGCTGCTTGAGGGTACTGTCATAGAGATTGTAGCCCTCAGGGGTTCGCACCGTGTATTTACGGCGAACCTCCAGATCACTGGCGTGGCGCTGGATGTAGGAGAAGAAGTCCACTCCGTATGCCTCATTGATGACGCGAACGAGCATCTGAAAGTCCTCTCGCACATTGAA